ATTGATTGATTGATTGATTGATTGATTGATTTGTTAGCAGGAATGCTCGTCTCCTTTAAATCGTGTAACGACCAAACGAGCCTGCAGGCAGAGATCTTCGCCGACCATCCATTCTTTGTCAGGGGAACAGACAGGCCAAGCTGGGCTTCGTTCAATCCTGCTGCCACTGAATTGCGTTATGGGATAAGCTGTCATATGTTACAAAGGGGTGACGTTTGTGTGTTGCCATGTGACTCAGATGTTCTTGGACGTTTTAACGGAACACAACGTGAAGGCGACCAAAAATCGTAAGTCCACTTGGAATTTTGTCTTCAAACCTCTCTCTTAATCTTTGATATTTCTCCTTTGTGCCACATTTTGTTTACAAACCTTTTTTACATATTTTGTAGGTCTGAATTCACTGCTATGGATTCAACAGCGGCACTTACACTTAGCAGCATGGCTAAGGTATGTTCTAACGGATTTCACAACCAGATAAAGGAATTTGGACGTGCGTAGCCCTTTATAAGCTGTCCAGTTTGGTACCAGAGATAAGTCAGTTTGAGGGAAGGGTCTCAAAAAGATTTCATTAGGGTTAAAATTACTTGTCATAGTTCAAAATGGGGGTAAGCAAGTCTAATTTCAATTGTTGCGTTGCGTTACGTTACGTTACGTTGCGTTACGTTACGTTACTCCAGGTTACCATTCAATTCCCTTGCATGTGCACTACACATCTTGCAGCACTGACATTCCTCACTGGTCCTCAGTAGTCTTTAAGGAAGCGTGAAATAACCTAATTCCATGGTTTTGCAGAAAAAAAGAATTGTATGTTCAGCTGAAAAGGCCAAAGTTTCTGAATCAAAGTTATTGCGAGATGCTGCCACACTGAAACAAAAAATCATTCAAATAAAAGAACGTAATCCTTCACAACAAGAAAATTTCTTTTAAGGTTAGACAACGTTTTATATTAATGACAGGATAAAGAGGAACACAGCCACCGCCGAACCAAGCTTCTGTCAGAGTCTCATTGTCCTTCAAGCCCAGTGAAAAGAAACAACACAAATCAGTTTACCAAGAGGCCAATGAACGCATTCATGTTGTTTGCTAAACGCTTTCGAGTGGAAATAACCCAGGCCCACCCTGGTAAAGATAACAGGTAAACCCTTAGAGTGCGTATCATATTGACACGTGGGCCTTAAGCCAATCAGAAGCTATAACACAGATTATACCTGTAATTGCCTTAATCAGGAGAGAATCGAGGATGCTCTCTTTGTCTTATTTATTAAATTTGATAAATTTACATTTTGTGAAAGGAAGTATAAGATAGACCTGTTTTGTGGTTGAGAGAGAGTATGTTTGTCACAAAATTGTCAAAATTGCTATAGACTTAAAAGAGGGTAAACCAACGTTTAACCTGACTGCATTTAGACGGGGGAACAAGTCTGTCAGGTGAATAACTAACTCAATCAAGACTTTCTTAACCTACATTAAGTTAAAGGTAGTCTCTCTTTTTGAGCGTTGTGGCCGCCTACTATCTCTACTTTAGTGTGATGCGACTAGGAGTGTTTCTACTCCCTCTTGTTTGAGATGCTAGTCCATCGCGGGGTTATCCCCCAGCATTAAATTTTCTAGTCCTCATTTATACACCTGGGCAGAGAGAGGCATTGTGAGGGTAAAGTTTCTTGCCCAAGCACACAACGCGATGGGCCCGGCCAGGGCTCGAGCCCAGACCGCTCAATCGGGAGTTCAACGCGACTTTTAATAATTACTGTGTTGTTAAATTGTGGAAATTGGCCTGAAAGAAGTTTAATGTTTACTTTTTCCAGAGCAATCAGCGTAATTCTAGGAGACAAGTGGAAAGCCATGAAACAGGAAGACAGAAGAGAGTATGTTATTCAAGCCAAGCTCTTGGCGGATGAGCACAAGAGAATCAATCCAGACTGTTGGAAGAGAAAGAGGAACTCTGAGGTCAGTTAACAAATTCTCTTTACTTACCTCCATAATTTCCTTATAGGACTATTTGGGAGAATTGAAATTTTATGGCATAGTAACCCTTAAACATTTAAGTCAATGTATGCATTCTCATTACAAGTCTCTATATATTTCTTTAGTATTATTTGGGAGAATTTGAGCATTCATAAAGACAGTTTCCATTTTCGATCTTTCAAAGCTCGTTTTTTCTCTTGCCTGGGTATTGAATTTCATACATAGAGGTATTTTTTTCCTGAAGAAATCCTTTCAGTACAATAAATTGGCGGGAAAAAATTAATTGAAAAAAAACTTGGCGGGAAAATCGTCGCTGTAATAAGCCAAGAAAAAGTACGGCAAGGAACCCAGATAAAATTAATCGAGCTTAACTATGAAAGACTATACAATATATCATTGCAAACAGATAGCACCATAGAAGCAGTACTTAAAATTAAACTGCAAAGTCAACAAAGCTTATAGCTTCAAATTTCTTTGACATTAATCATTTATTACTGTCAATCTTCGAGCCCAAAGTTCTTTCGAACAAATTCGGTAGTGTCTGATCGAACTTGCCTAGTTCCTAGGCCTCGATATTTCGCCTCGGTCAATGGTTTTCGGTTTTATGCGATAACCAAGTTCAATAATTGTTTTGTCATTCGATCACAAGTTTGTTTTCATGTTAAAATTACTCTCTGACAGGTTAGGGAACATCTGCCATTTTTCACCTGAGAGCGTGGTTAAAATTAAGCATGAGCAGAATATTATTTGCAGGAAAACACGTGTAAACGGTACTAGGCATGAGCGGACCATTATTTGTAGGCAGTTATTTGCAGGTCACGAGGTGGGCTCTCGGCCAATGGAAAGGGAAGAAAAAAATGCATCGAATCGTAATAATAATTGACACTTCTAAATAGTCCTTTGTTTCTTATTCTTCTATAGGGTTCATCAAAGATAAGCTACAGGCGGCCATAGGAGAGTGCGACAATGGTTTATCCCGGCATAGCTTAATATATTTTCCGTCTAGATTTTCTTGTAATATATAACTATATATTTTTTGCCATACGCGGAGTATTTTTTCATTGTTGAAAACATGAAGCAAGTCATACTGTGTATGACGTATTTAAAAAAGCATTCTACCTTGTATTAGTTTGAACATAGTTTTGAAATGCGCATATTTGGGTAATGATATTATAGAGTATGAGAGGACCTTTGTT